CAGAAATTACATTACATAAATATTGCATTCCCTGTGCATTCCTCCATCTTGGTCCGTTATTACGCTTGATGGTGGAATGGGGCTTGTGTGGGAGACATTAAGCAATTAAACGAAATGCCTGTCTAAATAATCGGGCGTCCTTCTTTTAGATGGCGTAGTATCAATTAACGAAGCCGTTTCTCTCCTCTGAAAATCGACTGAACTCAAGATTTTATGGGAATAGGAATAATCACGTCAGTTTCTCAGATATTATCGTAATTGCGCAATTTTTAAAGGGAAGCATCTCTTTCCTTAAAGGGCAACCTTTTAAGCAGATGTTACGTTCTACCGAATAGGTCGAAAATAACTTGCATGTCTTTCGTCAGAAAAATAACCGAGGCTCGGCGGGCAGCAAGCGTCAATGTGAGAACTAGACTGTTCTCAATGTTGGATCTTTCTGAGTATAAATTATTCATGTAACTGGAGCGAAGTTCGTGATTCCAAATTGGGGATTGTGTTCGCCACCAATCAGTTTTGCAGTCACATTCGGCTAACTTTTCCGATTCGGAAATCCAACAGCAAATCTTGATCAATATTAAATACATTGAAAGGAGCATCGTGTTTGTAGTGCGGATGATCTCTGAGAAAGATATTCATTTCCTCACATAAAGTGGCCCGGTTGCTGACAGTCCTTCTCTTTTGCAAGCATTATGCGGATCCCATCTGATCGCTGCCTGGATATTGCCTCTGATTCAGCTGAAACGTTATTTTGAGGAACAGGATAATTTTCCGTTTTTTGCTAAGTTCGCTTTCAGTTGTTTTTCTTTCAGCATAAGATCGCGTCAAGTAAACACTTCTAACAGAAAAAGCCCGGTCCAGAAAAATGTGGTTATGTAGCCGCATCTGAGGTCAACAAACCCCAGCCACTTGTAATACGGGACCGATGGAAATAGGGGTTCATACAGGTGGGGCCGGGGTACGCACTGGCGACGAGGCCAAGTAATGATATGTGAAAGTAATTGGAAATGCGCGGTTTACGTTGAGGGGTTGAGAAATGGGTGCGATAACCGCTTATCCTAACCGTGACCTCTAACACTAGCCCATAGACAAAACACTTAGCCCTAACCCCCAACCTTAACTCCTAACTCCATTCCAACAGTATTTTGTCCATCAGGTGGGGCTACATAACCACATCTTACCGAAAAATGTTGATCCTAATTTTAGCGGGTTCTGTTCCAGTGGCAGTAATTTATCTCCTTCCTGCTTAACCAGTTTGTTGATCTTTTTCTCTGTCAATCTCTTCTCTGGGAATGCAAGCACTCCTAGTAATACAAATGACCTCATGATAAATTCCAGGAAGGGCACCCTTTCTCGTTTCTCAACCCCTTACCTTGACATTCATAAATCTAACTCTGATCCTCCTGGCCCTTAGGTGGTGGACCCTAACACCACTTCCATGAAATTTAGCGCAGGGCCACCTGTATTAACGAGAGGTGTTCTTTTTTACCTGTCCTACCTCCCTTCAATATTATCTTTGTACTTTCGCAGGTGCGGTTGCGATTTAGTAGTTAATATCTCAGACTATACCACGCAATTTAATGGTCATGCCCCCAAGGCACAAAGGAACAAGCACGCTCCATAGCCTGATCGGTGAGCGGCCATTTGTCATAATTGATATTCCCAATCACAACTGACAGGAAAGCGGGCCCGTGGCTCAATGGTAGTGTCCAACTGCATGACCAAAGATCTCCGGTTCGAATCCCAAGTGACTGACAGGCTGATGACGGCTAATAAGCTAGAAATGGCCACTCCAGTCTCCCTTGTGTTTGTCGGTACCATGTCATTTACTTGCACTACTAGTCGCTGTGCGACTGCATGCGAGGGATCTAATATGAGTCCCAAGGCACAACGGAACAAGCACGTTCCGTAACCTCATCGGCGAGTGTCCATCTGTCATGACTGACATCACCATCAGTTATTCGACGATAAAAAGGTGTCAGAGGGATCAACTCGGAAATGAAAAGAAGTCCTTGGTAAATCGAAAAGCCATCCCGTCCAGTGATCACCCTCCCCCCCCCCCCCAAATTCCATCATATTAGTCTAACGGGATCAGACAGAAAAAAAGGCAACGAAAATAGAAACAAATGAAGGCTGACAAGCTTGAAAGACATACGAAGCTTGCTATTGTTGTGGTCTGCAAAGCAGTCTTCCACAGTGAACACCAAACCCAGATTTTCGGAGCGTAAGGCATCTATTACAACTGTCTCACAGCTCCTCCTTTCTTTAGGTAATTAATGGCAAAACGGATATAAATAAGTGGGAACCTGAATTATTCCGGAGTATTTTATCATAGAGCAACGGCCGACATCATTGGGCGTGAGGTAATGTGTGACAAACGTTTACTGATTGGATATTAGCCCACTGGACTTAGAAGTGATGTTTGGACAGATTCCATGTTAAAAGGGGTTTTGGAAAATTTGCATAATTCATCTGGTGAGATTGCGAAAAACTCGACGGCCTCGGCTGGGTTCGAACCCCACCGACAGCATGTACACGGCTTGAGCACCTTAGGGGCTCTAACCAGCTGAACTACGGGAGCCATGAGTTTAGTAAAGTTTCGAAGAGAGGCCACCATTTGTGTTGCTTCCAAGTTTTCAAAGGTAAGTGGCAAAGAAATTCTGTGGAAGTACTTTAGTGCTTCTCGTCAACACCCTGCGAATGACGCCCCCATGTAGGCGTCACCGACGAAGAAGTCTGAAGTCGCTCGCCGCGTGCAAGTTCCGTGGTTGGTCAATCCGCAGTGTGACCTTAACGACCCTTTGACCCTGGCCAGTCATGCTAGCTGCGCTTCGGCTAAACTGGCTAATTGGCTTGGAAATGGCTGCCCGGTCACATGTTGTCTTTCACGGCAGTTTTATATAAGTCTCTTTTGTTGGTTCACAAAACCTCCCCATATTTTGCTCAGATTTCCATGTCAGAAAATGTTATAGAAGCGATCAGTTACCTTGAAGAAACCCCAACATAGCAAAAACAGCGAAAAATGTCACTTTGAAGGTGAAAAACGACAAACTGTCACGGCTTGACGCATTACATGCCATGCACCTATAATCTGCAAATACTGAATTATTTTAATAACTGACGTGATGTGGCTTCCGAGATGATATAATGAAAAAGAGAACGCTACTCGGGGGATCGAGATATCCTCGGGAATTTTAGAGTTGATGACACCGACCTGTCATCAGACGAAATGAAAGAAGGAGAGAGAGAGAGTGAGATCGGCAGACTAGATCGGTTGGCGCGACAAAACAGACAGCTGGTGTGCGAGAGGGGTGGGCACTGAGGTACGGTAAGTTTTGGGGCGGGGAGAGGAAGGGAGAACCGTTAGGGCTCCCCGTGCTGGAGGGGGGATGGTGGATCAGGGGGATGCGGGAGGCTAATGGTTGATGCGAGTTGAGGTCAGGACATAATTTCACGCTGGCTCTTGGGTTAAAGAGCGTAGGATGTCTCGTGAAAATTATCCGGAACCTAGAACTCCCAAACCCCAGAATGCATATTATCTAATTGCACGTATGTTGCTGCGCTCCCTGTCCTAAACATACCCAATTTTTGACTGAAACAGCCCTACAAGAAAGCAGTTTAGTAGGATTGCTGTAGTAAATGGTTGAAATGTCTTACTTAGGGCTAGAAGATCAAATCTGTGTATAACTATGTGGGAATATAAAGTCTCAATCTAATTTCTAGATAAACCCCTGCAAATATTCCTGCAATCAATGCCAGTACAGTAGGCGAGCTAACTCATTAAATGTTAACCGTAATCCTGAAATGCGTCTTCGTTTCGAAGAGAATAATTAAGTAGGGTTGTAAAATTAATAATAATGCAGCCAAATTTTCTAATTATTCAGTTACCTGAGGATGCCGGCTTTCGAGCGAACTTCCTTCCGGCTGCATGCAAAGCTCCACTTTGTAAAAAGTGACTACTTAAACAGCATGCATTTTTCTCATCAGTTTTCGATGCTCTTAAAAATCCCATTATATTCCACGGAAGACATGCACAAAATACTCCTTCTCCCACTCGTTCGGTAGAAAGTGCCGTCTCCTTCCAACTGTATTCTTTAAGGAAGGGTGTGATTCGGTTTTTAAAAACTTTTCCAATTTCCGACTGATTTAGAACACGACCTGCCGCTACACTTGTATTCAGGGTTCCAAAACTACAAGCCGTATATTTTCCGTGCACTGAAAACCATGCGTTTCTCTACAGTTTTAAGAGGAGACTATATGGAGTTCATAAGATTTAGCGGTGGATTTGAGGCATATTGTTAGCTTTACAAGCCACATTGATAAATGCAGAGACATGACGTTTTATGAACAGCCATCTCACGGTATTAAAAAATCTCCCAATCAGAAACTCTTTAAAACCGAATTATACCTTTCCTTCGAGTATAAATTTGGATGAAGACGTCATTTTCTTCCGAATGAGCAAATGGACAAATATTTATATGCATGTATGCATATAATTGAATTTTAAAGGAAATCGAAAGTCAAAGAGAAACTGCATGCTACTTAAGTAGTCATTTTTTGGAGAGTACAGTTTTTCATGCAGCCGGAAAGAAGTTCGTTCGAAAGCCGGCACCCTTAGGTAAATGAATTATTATAACAATATGCTGGATGATGTTTAGGTGTACAAACCCACTTAATTATTCTTTTCAGACACATTTCCGCGTTACGATTGACATTTCATGAGTTAGCCCACCTACTGTATATTTTATCCAAATAACTTACAAAGCACTACAGGACACTTTTCATGAGCAAACGACTTGTTGTTGATTCCTGAGTTCACGACTAAACTGATGCAAAAAATGCACTTCTCAACAATCCGTGCTTTGGAAAATAATGCATAATACATTTCTGCCTCAAAATGAACGGGCATTCCTGCTATGTATGAAGTTGTTTTTCCCGCACGATAAGCATAGGCGTCCTGTCTGCTAAGCAGTCAGAATTCGGAATTAACTGAATTTTTGGGTTCACTGGTACTGCAAGTGTCGGGTTGACAGTGATGTGATGGTGTGATGATGTGAGAAAGAGGCAGGGCTCACAAAGACAGATTTATCGAGCTGTTGAAGTTTCGGTGAGCTTGAGCGACTCAACGCTGCCGAAGCGCTAAACGTACAAAATCGAACAGAAATGCAACAAGGACTGAAGAAGAAGAAGAAGAAAGAAGAAGAAGAAGAAGAAGAAGAAGAAGAAGAAGAAGAAGGAGGAGGAGGAGGAGGAGGAGGAGGAGGAGGAAGAAGAAGAAGAAGAAGAAGAAGAAGCAGAAGAAGAAGAAAAAGAATAAGCAGAGGAAGAGGAGGAGGAAGAAGAAGAAGAAGAAGAAGAAGAAGAAGAAGAAGAAGAAGAAGAAGAAGAAGAAGAAGAAGAAGAAGAAGAAGAAGAAGAAGGGTGATCGGGCACCGGAACTTTCTGTTTATTCCTCTGGGATTTTGAATTTTACAGGATTCAGCCGTCAGAGGTGGTACCAGAAACATAACGAGCGGCAGTGATAGCGGATATTAGTCAATCATTCATCGATGGCGCAAGACTGGATGTGGCTGCGCACGGCGCGATGTACGCCGGCGCCAGATCGATAACTCGACTGACTGAGTTCTCATCCAAGGCCCAGGCTTCAATCAATTCTAGACCCATTTGGTTTTCGGCTTGGGCGATTATTTTGGCGCGCCGAGCTAATCGACCTTGGACTGGTCGATTTTCTTTCTTTCGCCGTGTCGGTCTTCCGGTGGATGTTTGACGGGCATCATTTCTGCGTATGATACGAGTCATCAAGTTCATGGAGGGGGGGGGTGTTTGAGGCAACGCGGGGGTTGTTCGGTGTAGGGGTTCTTTTTATCCGCGTCGGTTGAGTTCGCTGTCATACCGCGTCTGCGTGGTTCTGTGATAGCGGCCGGCAGCTGTCTTCTTTCATGGCCGTCAGTGCCACTGCTTACTCATACCGCCACCTGACCATCCAACCGCTAGCTTACGACACGAATCGATATTTCTCTTCAGGTCAGTTGAACACCGCCCAAATGGCTATTAAATCCGGTAAATAAATCTTCTCGTTCTTCTATCACGAAGCGCCTCCTAGGTAGCGATCATTTCGTTGACCCCAAACATTCTTCCCAGTATTAGTTGGGACACGAACAACTCGGACGTTGCACTACTTAGAGGCAGCCTACATACGGTGGGGAGAAACCCGACCTACGCAAACAGTTGGGCCACGTGGTCAACCTCAGCTCGCTCTGATAAATCTCAGTCCTTTGAATTACACACCCCCCTCTACGTGTAAACTTCCCATTTACTTTCCTAAATTGCGTTTTTAGGTTACCATTTTTGTTTATTTGTCTGTGTGCGATAAACGATGACCTTGCTGTTTTGCCTTTATTTTTTTCTGTGGAAATTCAAATCTCTGTATCTTTCTCATTCATTATCCCTGTTTTGCAGCAACAGGTTGCAGCTGGTATGCCGTCGCAAAATTTGTTAGTTTCAGTAAAATCTGCTGTGTCTGCCCGTTCCAAATTCTTACCGAGGAAATATTGTTTCAAATCTCTCCATCGATTGGCCGCAACCGGACGAATGCATTGTTGAGGTCTCTGGCTGCAACTGCTTGCATTGCTGCATGTAAACTCTCTGCCTCAGCAAAAACTCGTCCATTCATCACTGCCTTCTGGTTTGGAAATCTTTAAGTTGTCGACTGTCTTCCACAGGTCTTTGCGTATGCAATCAAACGTAGGACGCAGAAGGGTCAGCGTGTCTGTTATTGGAATTGACACCGAATACTACGCCTCTAGTGTTAGTCCTTCTGCCCTTGAAATGCTCCCCGCTTGAGACAGTAAAAAAGTACTGCCGGTTTGTCCAATGTGAGTTCTAAGCTGACAATTTGGACCTAGCGCAATTTCGGCCTCAACGTACTTACGGTTCCCATCATTTCATTGTAAGATTATTTAGATGCATTACTGCCAGATATATGTACAGGCCTCAGTTTGATTGCCGACGTTTGTTTAGTAGACGCCATGCGTGTCTAGCTGAAAAAGTAGATGACCTCTCTGTGTCCAACGACTACGCCACCGGCGACCAAAAGTTCCAGTGTTAATAGGGTGCTGGGGGTTGACACGTGGCAATTGGCAGTCCTAGTGAATGCTACCGTGTCCGATCACGACAATGTCATGCATCAATAATGTGCCTCTCATTAATCAAGTCCTTAGTGCGGTCCTTGGCCTGATTAGAGGCTGCTTGAGGTGAGACAGGTAAATTTCTAACAAACCTTTAGGAACATCATGGCTATCTAAGTTCTCCCTGAGCGTCCCGTGTGTCGTCCATTGCCACGTCCCTTGCACTGACACCATGTCCTCTTCCTAGTTGCTTTTGCAGTGCAGCACAAATGCCCAGGTAGGACAACCCAATTTATTTATTGAAACAAACGGGGCGGGTTAGATTTTTCAAAGAGGTGAAAGGGAGATTGGAATGGGTGTAAAATAAACCCTACTAACGTTGTTGGAAGGTGAAGATGGAAAAGTGGAAAGAATCACATATCTGTTCAGGGAATCTGCCGTGTTATGACGTGAACTGCAGCATCTACTAATCAGAAGAGGCGATAAAAGCACGGAGTTGTCCGGGACATTCTGATAGTCGAGTTTGTCAGTTGGGTTTAAGCGATTCCCACCTTTGCATCTATTGGTAGTAAAAAAGATGGTTGGATTATAGATTACATGGCGGTCCCTTGGGGGAGTGTGGTCTTTAAGTGTGGTTGGAGGTTATTGGTGCCGAACAGTTTGCAGTTGGAGTTCCTAGGTCGAAGGCAGTCGCGTTATAACCGTGTCGCAGGTAGGGCAGAGGTCCACCACTTCGCTGCATGATCTGTAAGGCCGAACAGCAAAAAACGTAAGTTGGCGTAACTTTATACAGTGCCTGCGGAGAGGGCTCGTAGGGTGAAATGGAATGGACACTCACCGATTGCAGGCCTAATTGCAGAAGAAACTGTGGGCGACTAGATTTCGCCCCGGATTTCAATCAAGTGCTTTCACAGGCGAATGTATAATGTCAGACATCATGTCTGGTAGGAACAAACCCAAGGAAGCCATGGGAGTCGTCTTGGGTATCAGTGCGTCATATCCCGAACCCAGACCCCTTGGTCACTGAGCAGTGGAGTCAAAATCTCCGCTACTGCACCCATGCACCCTCGGTTGCGGTTGGAAATCTCTGAATTTACATGGCAGTAGCCTCTTTCTAATCTCACTTGAACGCAGGAGTGTTGTCGTTATGTCTTGAGGGTTCATGTGGAGTTATCATACGCGGTTGCAATGAAATGGGCAATTTAATCTACCATACCTATAATGCTCCTTAAATACGCGGAGGACCCGTAAAACAAACAAAAAAGCGCAGGTAGTAAGATGCATTATCTGACAAACTTTCTAATTTCGTCCTCCTGTGATACGGAAGTATCATTACTGCTGATCATACAGAGTTCTCTCGTATATTCTATAAGGAATATTTTCAACACAGTTTTAGAGACTTTCCATCCAAGCCTTGTGAGAATAGAATTTCGGAGGTCTATACTAATCAACCTGTATCCCCAGTTTTCATTGTGAAGAAGCCGCACGGTTCTCAAGATGTACTGATTCGATAGCGCAGTGCTACGCGTTTCCTCAAGTGCGGCGACTCCAAGGTTTCATTCAGGCACCTACTGAACTTTAGGGTGGAAACTTGGGCCGGCCTTCGCTGCTAAACCGGGTTTCGACGGAGACATTTTAAATTTGAGTAGCGTTTGCGGGCTAGATCGCAGTTGGTAGCCCAAACCCGCATTACAGGTGGCTGGGGAGTTTGTTTACCGGGGTTATTTTGTGGAACTCCATAATCACATCTGACGCATTTGGCTTCCGTTTTACGCCTGAGGCTAGAATTAGGGTACCGGTTAATGGTTTCCGATTTTCCGGTTAGGGTTATGCCTATAGGCTTAGGTATTCGGGTTATGGTTAGGGTTTGAGCGTACGAATAGGTTCCAATATTACGGTTAGGCTTCTCACTTACGGCTATGTCTAAGGTCTACGGTTACGTTTACGATTTCGGCTAGGGTTAAGGTTAGGGTCGCCGTTAGGGTTAGCGGTAACGGTTAAGGTTAGGGTTAGGGTTAAGGTCGCCGTCCGCTTCCCATTCCGGGCTACCAACTGCGATCTAGCCGAGGACTGTGGATAAGCAGACATGGCAATCACGGTCCGGCTCGTCTATGTCAGTTATTGGTTTCTGCAAGGATGCCTATATGTCTGCGAATAGAAGACGGATCGCGCCGTATTCTCTCCCTTACTACAGGTAGTTTGATGCGTGCCACTTTCAACCAACTGTTAAAGAGTGGCTTTCGTTTATCTTTTAAATAAATACTTAATTAGCGTTACGTTAGTATGACAGACAAATGGAAGAAGCGGCACTAAATAAATGCCTACTTGATGAATGAGACTGACCCCTGTGTTTAAGAAGGTTTTCGGTTAATAGCCTGCTTACCAGCTTCTGAGTACCTGGCCGAGGCTATGTTTCTTCCTCCAATAGGGCAAAAACATTGACGAGTATGGTGGTTGAGGGGTGCTCGTCGATCGTTTCTACGGAACTCACTCGTCCCGTTGTGCCTTACGCGCTCTCTCTCGAGCCCAACCAGTAGCCGCACAGCGGCGCAGGATACAGGCAGAATAGCATTCCCGAGAAAGGCAAAAGAGACTGAGATGGCCATTTCTGGCTTACTGACCATCGTCAGCCAATCTTACCCAACCCCGCAGTGTGGAACACCTGGGACTCGAACTCGCGACCTGTTATTTAGAAGTCCAACGACTCTAATCACTGATCCACGGACCCGTTGTCTTGTTGGTTGCAATCGGGATTATACAATGGTAGAGGAGCGCTCACCGATCGTTTCTATGGAACTCACTCGTCCACACTTCGGGGTTGGATATCGCTGGTTGACGACGGCCAATAAGCCAGAAATGGCCACACCAGTCTCCCTTATCTTTGTCGGCAATACCATTGATGAGTATGCTCGTCTTTACTGCAGCCCTACGTAGAAGCTCGGTTAACTGTAGCCCATGATTTCTACATCCTCTTGAGGCAGGGCTGCCCTGGAGTTGCAGACTAGTTTTAACGCATGAAATCCTGGCCGAGGCGATTCCCTAAACGTCAGTGCAAACATGCTACCCCGCGCAGTTTACAAGCAGCCCACCTGTCAGTTCCAACCTCAGAGGAAAAACATTCCTATTTGCATCTCCATCGTGCCTTCCTAGCAACGCGGAAGTTACCCCGTGTAGCGTTGAGTTAGAGCAGAATCTACTGACTCTCCTCTCGCCCAGTGAAGTTTTTTTCATAAAACAGCTCTAATAGCTGACGACGGGGATAGTCCAGATGCTGGAAACTTGAAGCCTAAATCTGTCCCCTTAGGCTTCCAACAGTTTGAGCTGATATAGACTGCCGCCTTACCAGGTTATATAGTCACTGCCGTCTAGAGCGCAGAATC